CACTAGTTCAGTCTCTGACATTTCCAGTTAAAAGGTAAAGGTAAAGGTTCCCCTTGACAATTTTTGTCCAGTCGTGTCCGACTCTAGGGGGCGGTGCTCATCCCCGTTTCCAAGCCATAGAGCCAGCGTTTTGTCCGAAGACAATCTTCCATGGTCACATGGCCAGCGCGACTAGACACAGAACGCTGTTACCTTCCCACCGAGGTGGTCCCTATTGATCTACTTGCATTTGCATGCTTTTGAACCGCTAGGTTGGCGGGAGCTGGGACAAGTGACGGGCGCTCACTCCGTCACGTGGATTTGATCTTACGACTGCTTGGTCTTCTGACCCTGCAGCACAGAGGCTTCTGCGGTTTAGCCCGCAGCGCCACCACGTCCCTGATGACATTTCCAGTTACAGCTGGGAAATGCCACCCATCTGAGACGAATGGCCTAACTCATCATTAAAGGAACTTTCTATGTTTCCTTTTGTGCAAGGCCAGGGACTGCAATCAGAATTAAGCTTGGCCATTCAGAAGGTCTCACCTAGTCGGACGTAGACAACCCATTTGGTTCATGACCACGCAGGACTTTGCAGCTGAAATCCAGCAGTAAGTAGCAACTAGAGTAGGGTAGTTGAATTGCATCAATGAATCATTGAATCAATGGGACTTATATAGGTGCTGACTCGCCAGATCCCTGCTGAGTTAATGGGTCTACATTGGTTGCATCCAGATTTCAGCCTGTGAATAGGACAGCAGTGTTTCGTTCTGCTTCCTATTCTGTCACAACCTGACCGTTACAGGGAACAGCATGGTTTAGAAATATCACAGTGCTGTCATTCAGAAAGGGTGATGGAATGGGGAGTCCTGTGGCCAGAGATGGCCATCTCGGTCCGAAGTCCCTAGCAGATAGAGGAGGGGCCATAGCACCGCAATAAGGCAGGTGCTTTGCATGTCCACAGTTCAGTTATCAGCATTTCCTGGTAGGGCATGGAAATCTGTTGCCAGACCAAGATGTCAGTAACAAAGGTTTGATTTAGTATAACTCGGTTATGATCCCAACCCCATTTTCTGTGAGCTGTGCTTCAAAGCAGTGGAGAAGGAGTGATGGCTAGAAGAGATGATGAAAAGGGCAACAGAAATCATCAAAGCTATGGAACACCATTTCTGTGTAGAAAAGCTAACTCTTTCGGAGTTCCTTAAGGTCAATACAGAGCAGTTGGGATGAAGAGAGAGAATAACATGGCAGAGGCTGAAGAAACGGAAGTTCTTCCCTTATTCAAAACTGGTTGGGCTTCATCTAGAGAGGACTGTGTCCAGTTCTGGACACTGCACTTCAAGAAGGATGCCAGCAAACTGGAGCAAATTTGGAGGAGGGTAACCAAGATGACCAGGGGACTGGAAACCAAGCCGTAGGAGGAAAGACTGAAAGAGCTGGGTATGTCTAGCCTTGAGAAAAGAAGACAGAGGGGTGATAAGATAGCACTTTTCAAATACTTGAAAGGTTGTGATTCAGAGGAGGGGCAGGATCTGTTCAAAGTGCAGGACACGTCATAATGGGTGCAAGCTACAGGAAGCCAGATTTTGGCTGAGTAGTAGGAAAAATGTCTCAACTATTAGAGTAGTACAACAATGGAAGCAATGATCATGGGAGGGGAACACTCCAACGCCGGAGGCCTTCATAAGAAAATTGGACAACCCCCCTGTCACATCTGCTTTGATTTATATTTCTGCAATCGGGCAGCAGGTTGGAGTTGATGGCCACCTAGACCCCTTCCAACTCCATGATTCTGTGATTCTAATGACTGTATACATGGTGGGGAGAACTGGATAGTTTCCTCTCCTGCAATAGAAGTTGATGATGACCCGTAACTTAAGAGGGCTTTAGACGATTTGGCAAATTCTGAGTTATATATCCTGTCTGGTAACAGAATCGGTGTATCCTCTGGATGGGGATTCTGAGAGGGGACAGTGGCACTCATGTCTTGCTGGATGATTTACCACAGGCAGCATCTTGATTTGCAAAGTCAGAAAACCAGCTGGTTAGACAGAGCCCCTGCCTCTTGAAGCAGAATAACGCAATGACTTTTTTTTTTGGTGTGCATTAATCCGTGCTTATCACAGAACCTGGTTGTGTCGTTAGCAAAGAACACCAGGAGCCGAAGTTATGGATCGAATGCATTGTAAGTGATCAGCAGACAGTTCTCTAGGGTGGAAAGGAGAAAGGAAGGCAACCGCCTACTGCTGGAAATGACTTATTCAGAAACAGGGCCCTTGGCACATTAAAGACGAGCACATGAATTATGGCAGAAAACTTCCATGCCCGCAGTCTTGCACAAAGGCATATAGTCTTCAGATATGTGTACACAGTATATTTGCTGTGGTAGGTTTGTTAATGCATCTGTTACCATCAGTACTTCTGCATTTAATTTCCCTCTGATCACATCATCCTACTCCTCTCAGGTGTTTAGTGCCTTACTGATATACAGGAGGATCCTCTCCCCCCACCCCAATATCTGTGAGGGACCAGTTCCAAGCGGATGCTGAAAAACATGGATTATAGCAAATGCTATACATCCCATAGTCTCTGGCTCCCTATAGTGGCTAGTTCTGATAATAACACCATAGAAATACCTCATGAGATACAAACTTCACTCTGCACTTCCTCTCCAAAAGAGGAGCTTATGAAATATGGAACTTGTGTTATATAGAATTTTTCAACCTTGCAAAATATGGAATATAATGTTGCTAAACTGAACTAATGCTGAAACGGAGGCTGTCCTATTTGGGGCAATCATGAGAAGACAGGATTCTCTGGAAAAGACAATTATGCTGGGAAAGGTTGAAGGCAGCAGGAAAAGAGGAAGACCAAATACAAAATGGATTGAATTTCTAAAGGAAGCTGTGGGCTGAGCAAGGCAGGTAAGGACAGGCCATTTGAGAGATCACTCATTCATGGGGGTCACCATAAATTGGGAGTGACTTGATGGCGCACAACAACAAGCTCTCCTACGGTTAAGGTGTAGTGGACAGAGTGATGAACTAGAAGCGGCCTGGGTTTGAATCCCTGCTCAGCCATGGAAACATCTTGGGGGTGGAGCTGGTAAAACAACTCCTTAAATACTTTACTTACCTTAAAAGCCCTATGAGGGTCTCTCTAAGTCAGTTCTGACTTGATGGCCGTAACAACGAGAAACACTTTCGAGGGAGAGCGTATAGAAAGTTGCTTGGCAGAAACTGGAGGTCATGAAGACAGCTGGACAGGTAGGCCAGAATATTTACTCTGTCCTTTCCCAAAAACCAGCCTCTACGCCTGGAGAGTCTGCTCCAGTCTTCTCATCATCAATTGAAAACAAAGGTGGAGCAGACACTCTTCTTGCTTAAAAAAGAAAGTCTAATTATTTTTAAGCCGTTTGTACGTCTAACACCTCTCTTCACGGCCATGAGCTGTGCGTAGAATTCGGGTATTTGCATAAAGTGCAACAGATGCATTAATTAGCAATGTTTGCTTCAAATGACAAAAGGAAAGGGTGTAAGAAACAGGTGTGAGGTTGGTTCACATCTCTAGTGTTTAAAGGTAGGAGGGAAGTGCATCTAAACCCATAGAAAGGTTGGATTTAGGAAAAGACGTATCAGGATTAATCTCTAATCAGCTTAGATTTTGCATATGCCCGACTTTGAATCAGGTGAACCCTCTTTCTATTCAAAATCAAGGGACTTTGCCTTTTAAACATACATATATAGGGACATGGTGGCGCTGTGGGCTAAACCGCAGAAGCCTGTGCTGTAAGGTCTGTAGATCTTCAGCTATAAGATCGAATCCACGCAACGGAGTGAGCTCCCGTCACTTGTCCCAGCTCCTGCCAACCTAGCGGTTCGAAAGCATGCAAATGCGAGTAGATCAATAGGGACCACCTCGGTGGGCAGGTAACAGCGTTCCGTGTCTAAGTCGCACTGGCCATGTGACCACGGAAGATGGTCTTTGGACAAAACGCTGGCTCTATGGCTTGGAAACGGGGATGAGCACCGCCCCCTAGAGTCGAACACGACTGGACAAAAATTGTCAAGGGGAACCTTTATCTTTTTATAGCACAAACACAAGCTAACATATGAACCAAACTCATTGATGTAGAAGGTTAAGAATGGCGGAACATGGGCTGTCATCAAGGAGGGCAGAGCGGGATATGCAGCTGCCTCCCCATTTTATTTTCACAGCCCCTCCCTGGGACTGATTGGGGTTAAAGCGGGAAAGAGCAGAAGGACTATTGCAACAGAGTAGGATTTTTCAACTTAAGCCTCTTTGCTCCTAATAAAATACTATAACCCAGCCATTCCCTAGTTGGCGCACACCCACTCATCATGCCCAACCAAGGCACACCACAGGCAAGGACAATGAGCCTTGTAGTCCCAAATCTAGGGAGGATGCCATATGGGGAAAGGTGTCTCTGGCCACTTTCAGTTTTCAAATCTTACCATGTCAGTTCCTCAGGAATCTCTAAGCAAGGCTCAATTTCTCGTGTGCCCCAAGGATAGCAGGACCCCCAAATTCGCAGGGGATCAGTTGCACACCTCCCTGGGAAGATGATCCAAAACATGGATTATAGCCAATGCTATTTTAATGGCAAATGCTAAACAGTACATCCCACGGTCTCTGACTCCCTCTAGTTCTAGTAATGACATGGTGGAAATATATTTCTCTAGCAAACACTATGCATAGCAGGGTTCTGATTTCCTCTAGTGGCCAATTCTGGTGACTTCATCTTTAGAAACATATATTGTCCCCCAGAGTGAGTCATCAGCAGTGCCCTAAAAACCAGCCACTGGTTCCCAAAGAGCAGCTTTGCCTAAACCGCGGCATCCAGAAATATATAGGACTATGACTCCCATCATCCCTAGCGAGTCTGATCGCTTGAAGATGGGACTTGTAGTCCAACACATCTGGGAACGTGCCAGGCCAGGTAAAGGCGCCGCAGAACTTCACGGGGTCAACAAAGGGAGAAAAGAACTCACACACTCGAGTTGGTGGTGCTTCGACTGGAAACTTTTAATATAAAAAATTCACCGACGTACAAAAAGGCTAAAATGTGACAAACCGTTCAAAATATTGGGATCAACTTTCCTGTTACACACCAGTAGTAGAAAACAAAACCAAAAAAGCCAAACCCCCAACTCAGTTGGGAAGCAGTGAAATGTACACGCAATCACACTCCACCGGCTGTTCGTCAGCTTGGGCCAGCATCTCTTGGGTTGCCTTCTCAGTGGCAGGATTACTCTCGGTGGACTAAGACAAACAAGCCCAGCAGAAATAGAACCGTGTACTGTCGGGAGGAGAAAAGGGAAACATTGGGATGACTGAGAAAGAGTAAAGCAGAATTACGACTTGCTACCCTGGCGCACGATCTTTGGTACGCTCTCTGGAATTTCTACTGAATCCCAAAAATCCAGCTTTTAAGGAAAAAACAAACAAACCTGACACTGTGGAAGGGAAGCTGTATTGCTCCAGATCTGTTAGGTCAACTCTCAAGATACCCCAGCTAGCCTGACCAATAGTAAGGGATAGCACAGTAGTTTAGGTATCTAGCTGCAGAGCCAGAAGTTGGGAGTTTGATTCCCCACTGTGGTTCTTGAGAGAAGAGCCAGCCCGTGTAGCCTTGGGCCAGCTGCATAGTCCCAGGGCTCCCCCTAGAGGAAGGAAATGGGAAACCACTTCTGAGTACTTTCTACCTAGGGAAACCCTGAAAAGGGTCACCAATGAGTCAGAATTGACTTGGCTACACATAATTATTATTTAAGCTGGCTGGAAAGCTCAGTGGTTTAGGTCTGTGGCTGCGGAGACAGAGGCTGGAAGTTTGATTTCCCATGGTGCCTCCTGCAAGTATGGCCAGCCTGGGTAGCCTTGGGCCAGCCGTACAGTCCCAACAGACCCCAGAAGAACAGAATGGCAACCCACTTCTGAGTATTTCCTGCCTGAAAAACCCTGAAAAAGGAGCCACCATAAATCAGAAGTGACTTGAAGGCACATGATGATGATGATGATGATGGTGATGGGGGGGTCATAGTCCAAAGCATCAGAGAAGAACTGCCTTGGTGGTGATGTTGGGACACTTACAGCCCAGAACAAAGCAGTGGCCTTTCTATATGGAGGCTTCCTCAAATGTGGCTTTCTACCCAAGTTAAGAACAGAAGAGCGAACATACCTTGAATTTGGGGTAATCGTTCATCAGGATGGTCACTATTCCAATATATGGCACAAATCTAAAAAGGGAAAGCAAAGCCACCTGTTTTAGGAATCATCTGAACAGAGACTCACAGAGCTGGGCACTGGCTCTAAATCCAAGGCAACCTACTCTGGCAGGGCATTTCTGAGAATAGCTGGCAGTCAGAGACCAGCTTGCCCATTTAAATGGGTTTAGACTTTCAGATGTATTTAATTTATTGGAATATTACTAACTGTAAATAAAAGTCAATGTTTGGGCTGTGACTCTCTCATGCGCATCATCCTAACCACTAAGAATACTTGGGGTGAAATCTGGTACTGAGTAGAGTAGGCCTGCTAAATCAATGGAACTTACACAGGTGCAACTTGCTCTTGCATCTGTATTCCTTTGGGGACCACACAGACTTTTTGCTGTTGTTTTCTGAACTGCATAGGCGTCGACACACCAAATCTCCACTGATTCAATGGGCTTACTCTAGCTGTGACTTACTACTGGACTGAAGTCATGGAGAGAGGAAACAGGACTCCGCTTCTTACTAGACAGCAAAGCAAGTTTCAATCCCAAAGTACAACAGAGAGTTGGAAGACTTCTTTACCCAATTACAGTAATTAACTACTTTTCTGCACAGTTTAATACAACTGAGGAATTACATCAAGTTTAAAACATATACAGTAGGATCTCCCTACGCTGAATGCGGATGCTGAAAAACAAGGATTATAGCAAGCACTATTTTAATAAAGAACGCTACACATAGTATGATCTCTGGTTCTCTCTAGTGGCCAGTTCTGGTAAATTCATCTTTAGACATCTATATTTCTGGGAAATTTTCTTTTAATATTTTCAAATTGTGGATAAATGAATCAGCAGATACTGATCCCAGAGATACAGAGGTCCTGGTGTATTCTGTTAAGGACTGTTTAAATTGCATGTTAAGAAACTCCAAATGTTTTATGACCATAATAACCATGAGTGGACCACCCATCCTTGATTTGGAAATCTGGTGATATAAAACAGCAGAAGGGGGAAAAATATGGAAACACACACCTGACGAATCCATTGGAAACCTTCCTCCCACTTGCCCTTTGGTGACCATCGCTTACCCTCTTGCTCTTCCCACCACGTCCTTCTTTTCCAGCCAGTGCTGCCCCTGCTTGTACAAGCCTCTGTCATCGACCGCGTTGTTGTCCCCTTTTGTCAAAAACTTGATGTCTCCATTTTGTCTTAACAGAGGGGGGAAATGCAAGAGTCAGATCAGCTGCTGAAGGCAGAATGCAACCACCACTTCTAAGGCAGCACCTGCTTTTCCTCTGCAAAGGGAACAGTGGTCCCACAAAGCTACAGATTCATGCAAGGGTGGGTATTGCCTCGTGACACAGTGGTTAAATCGCAGTACAGTGGTGCCTCGCTTAATGGGCGCCCCGTTTAACAACAAATCCGCATAGCGACAAATTTTTTGCGATCGTTTTTGCGATCGCATTGTGATGTTTCTAATGGGAAAAAATCGCTTTGCGATGATTGGCAAGCTGTTTCGCTTACCGATTTTCGCATAACAATGATTTCCCAACAGCTGAAGCGGCGTGATGCCACCAGGCCTCAGGTTCCCCTTGCTAGGTTCTGTCAAACCACAGTTTCTGTTCCATGCAGACTAAGAACACTGTTGTTCAAAGGAGCCCCCCAGACAGGAGTTCAAAATTAGGACAAAATCATGGCTGAAAGAGCACACTTTACTCAAACTGCATGTTCTCAGTGTCAGTGCAGCAAACTATGATCCGGCCAAAGCAGTTTGATTAAACAGCGTGTACAAGAGTGGGAAAGAGTGATCAAACCCAGAGCTTGCTTTTGGTTCTCCTCAACGCCATGGAGACACGACACCACGTTGACCGCGGCTGTTTTAAGAGGGCCCCGGTAGAAACTGATACGGCGTCTGTGTTTCGCAACAGACTGAGCCATCATCCATCTCCAAAGCAGGGGACCTACTTTTCATGAATTTTCAGCACCCGGTGCACTATCGGGATTTCTCTTCCTTCTATCCTAAAGACCACGATTTCCCCCACTCTGATTGGCTCTTCGATGCGATTGGTTAAGAAGAGGAGGTCGCCTCTGTGGAATGCCGGTTCCATGCTACCACTGGAAGACAAAGATGTCAGTCAGTGAGAACATATGGAGATCAGTGCTTCTCTCTGAGATGGTAGCACTCCATAAAAGAATCCAAAGCAGCTTACATCATTAAAAGAGGGGGGGATTCCCAATATTAAAAACGGATTACACTTTATTAAATTTTTTTAAAAAAAGAATGAGCAAAACAGAGAAAAAAAATTAATCAGCCCATTTTAAAACCCAGCTTAGAGAGTCAATCACTAAGGGAAAGCCTGTCTGAAGACAGAAGTCTTCACCTGCTTGCGGAAGGACAGCAAAGACGGGGCTAGTCTGGGCTCCAGTGGGAGGGAGTTCCACAGTCTGGGAGCAGACACAGAGTAGGCTTTCTCTCCTGTGTCCCCGTCAGACGCACCAGTGAAGGTGGTGGGATCGAGAGGAAGGCCTCTCCGGATGATCTTAACACCCGAGCAGGCTCATAAAGACCGACGTGGTCCTTGAGATATCATTGACATTTTAAAAATAATTGATCCACTGCCAGAAGGGGGGCTGTGAAAAGTGCTGTGCATTTGTTACGCCTGAAATTACGAGGGAAAGTCTGCATTCTGGCGGAGATCACAAGCATTATAAGAGGAAAGATTAAGATGAGAGATGGCAAAAAAATTTAAAAAAATCACAAGTACTATTTGTCTGTCGCCAAATCTAGAACTACTAAATTTGACTTTTTTGGAGTATACCTTGTGCAGTCCCCTAGCCAAGAAGGCCAGTGGGCTCTGGGGATTATAACCACAGAAACCAAGTCTCTGGAGTTCTTGTCTGGGGTCTTCCAGGAACTGCTTCCTCTCACGAATCTCTTTAGTGACTCTGCTCATGGTAGAAAGGAAGGAAAAGGGGAGGAGGCTTTTCGACTGTGGCAACCAGCAAAGGGAAAATGTTCCCACATAGGTTTATTTGACCACTCTCATCACCTTCTTAATAGAGTTTCCCTTCAGGGGACAGATTGAAGCTAAGGAATGAGCGATCTGTATCTCCCTCTATTTGTCCCTTGTTGTTTTTAATTGCCCTCTTCATCACTCTATCAGACACCCAAGTAATTACTGAAATAGAAGGGAACCGTGATGTCAATACAAATGCAAGAATACTCGATATCTTTAAAGACCACTAAAAACCATGATCATACAATAGGTGAGCTTTCATGGACCAAGACCACTTCGTCAGGCGTGTACCAGTGTGAAGAACTTAAAAGTCCCAAGTTTCATGGCAGGATGGATTTCGCCAGGACAGTTAGATGTAAAGTCTGAAAGTTCTTGGCAAGATAGATAAGAAGAACTTGCCATTTTGCCAACAACTTTTGGACTTTACATCTAAGAGTAACTTTCCTGGTGAAATCCACCTTGCCATGAACTTTTGGACTTTAAAGTTCTTCACACTGGTGCAAGCATGAAGTATTTTATCCACGAAAGCTTGCATATTGTCTGATGATTTTAGTGGTCCATAATGGTATCACTTTTTAAAGGTTCCCCTTGACATTTACACCAGTCGTGTCCAACTCTAGGGGGTGGTGCTCATCCCCGTCTCCAGGCCATAAAGCCAGCGTTTGTCCGTAGACTATTTCTGTGGTCACGTGGCCAGGATGGCTAGACACGGAACGCCATGACCTTCCCACCGTGGTGGTACCTATTTATCTGCTCGCATTTACATGCTTTCGAACTGCTAGGTTGGCAGGAGCTGGGACAAGGGACGGGAGCTCACTCCGTCGCATGCATTTGATCTTACGATGGCTGGTCTTCTGAACTTGCAGCACAGAGGCTTCTGCGGTTTAACCCGCAGCACCACCACGTCCCACTATGGCATCACCTACTCTCGCAGAAGTAACTATGGAGCAGTGTTTACAGGAAAAGTGGGACTGGGTGTGAACCACATACAGTATTGCAGCCGCTCCCACATAAGAGCGAAAGACATAGAGATCATTTAATATGGCTCTGTATCCTTACACCAAAGAAAGCCAGAACAGAAACCTGCTGCCAGTTCTCTGACACAGACTGTATGGCCAAAGCCAAGCTGCCACATATGGATGAGATCTTTCTGTATTCTTTGCCAGCTGGCTTTCCGGTAACCAAGCTTTCCATTCTGTGCTCAATAACAGCTCCACCATGTTCCAAATGCAGGCATCATGCTAGCGTTCCTCTTCCTTATCTGTCCTTCCCTCCTGTGTTGTGGGTATTAGACTGCAACGTGTGATATTGGGGGGGGGCTGTTTTATCATTTACTATGAATGCAGAGCCCAGTAAATAGGAGACACATTAAAAACAAAACTCCAAAAGTGCATTATAGGACTTTCAAGCAGAGGGTGGGCAGTTTCCTTTGTTTACATGACTATTGATTTACATGACTATCCTCATGAGACACCCAGCAACAACTTCAAAAGCAGCGAGAGAGAACAGCACATGATGGATAGCCAGAATTATTCTCACTAGAGATGGGCACATCAGTTTGTGACGGTTTGCCCATCGGTCCAATGGGTGTTCCACAGTTCTGAGCTGTCAAGCTAGGGTGTTGCCTCTGAGTATGGCTGCCTGCTGGAGGAAATGGGGCTTGGAACTACAGAAGTTCTGTTGGACTTACAGACTGGCATGAACCAATGAACCAGCGGTTTATACTCATCTCTAATTCTGACTACAATCGCCATCATCACCAACAGCCTTAACCCCAAGGTTAAAAGTGTACAGCAAGATGGTCTATTCTAAATTGCATTAGCACAAACACACTACCTTGGTGCCTATCGGGGGCAATCCATAACATTTTTAACTCTGCAAGGGTGTTACCAAAAAGTATCACGAAACTCTAAGGGCTGGAAGAGGAATCAGCCCTGTAACAGCCTATCTCTTTTTTCTTGAGGATCCTAAGCAACATAAGTATCTTGGTGAAGAAGGGAGAGGACACGACGCAGTGGTTAAAACGCAGTGGTTAAAACGCTGTACTGCAGCTAAAACTGCGCTCACGACCTGGGGTTCAAATCCCAGGTAGCCGGCTCAAGGTTGACTCAGCCTTCCATCCTTCCGAGGTCGGTAAAATGAGTACCCAGCTCGCTGGGGGGGCAATGTGTAGCCTATATAATTAAAAATTGTAAACTGCCCGGAGAGTGCTTGTAGCACTATGGGGCGGTATATAAGTCCAATAAATAAATAAATAAATAAATATGATTCAACAGCTGCTTTCCCCTCTGATGGAAGATACCAAAGAAACTTCAACAGGATTTCTTGCTTATTGTGTCAGCCGAGAATAAATGTATCGCTGGTAAAATAGCTTAGGGAGGTGGCACCTGGAAAATTATGGAAATCTCATGTTGTCTAGTGTTTTTAATGGTTTTAAACATCTTGCAGAAATGGTTCAATTGGGTATTATTTTGTGGCGGTTGTTGAGCAAATAAAATGGTCCCAACCTGGAACCCTTTGTAAATGCTGAGCATTTTCACTGAAGGAAAAATCTGTCTTATAAAAGGTAACAGGGGCCTGCTTGCTGAATAAAGAGCAGCCGTCGTGTAAAGTCAGCATCTTACAGCTGCAGCTGAAGAAACAGGATGCAATTCCTGAAAACGTGTGCTAACTAAAGCTTGCTAGTCTTTAAGGTTCCACAAGAGTTCTTGGTTTTATTTTTCAGAGGATGGACGCCAAACATTCCGGGATTTATATCTTGCTTTTTCTCACACCACCAAATGCTAGCATCCCACATTTATGCATGATTATCTCAGACATTTCAAGACCCATATGTTCGATCTGTGTGCTCTTCCATAAGGAAGACCTACTGGTCAAGGAATGGTGCTAAGCATGGGGGAGACCCAAGAACGGTAGATGTTCCAGAGCAAAAAAAACCATCCCAACTTCTTGGGAGTTGGATCTCCTCCTTGAGGTTCTCACGCTACAGCCTGGTTTGCTCCAAAGATTACCGGCATTATTTTACCTAAGTACGACCACGATGGGGCTTTCACTGCCCGTTGCTACCATCAGCCCTTTCCAGATCATCAGTGCTGAAGAGACAATCATCCCAAAGTTCAGCACCTGGTAATACAGCTGGGAGGGGAAGAAGGGACAAGGATGAGGAGGGGAAAAACTGGAAATAAAACCGCCCCTCTTCTTGAAGACACAGTCATGCATGCACAGAACTTCCCCTCGGCCACAAACATCTCCCCAAATAAAACCTGCTTTCTCACAGCTACAGTGGACGACCTAAAATTAATGGAAGTCTCATCACAGTCCACAAAACTGGCCAGAGAGCTCAGCGGTTCAGGCATCTGGCTGCAGAGCTGGAGGTTGTGAGTTCGAATCTCCAATGTGACTCCAAGGAGTAGAGCCAGCCTGTGTGGCCTTGAGCAAGTAGCATCGTTCCAGGTTGCCTCCTAGAGGAAGGGAAGGGTAAACCACTTCTGGGTATTCTCCACCTAGAAAACCCCGAAAAGGGTCACCATAAATCAGAACTGACTTGATGGCACATGATTAAAAAGAAAGTACAGTGGTGCCTCGCTTTACAATTGCCCTGCATTACGACGAAACTGCATTATGATGATCTTTTTGCGATTCCAACTTAAGACAACACTCCTGCAAGGTTTTCTAGGAATAGGGTATTCAGAAGTAATTTACCATTCCTTTCTTCTGGGGCTACACAGCTTGCTACACAGGCCACACAGCCTGGCTCTCTTCTCCTCAGAAGCAAACTCCCAACTTAACTCACTGACTTATCCTGCTAGCATTATTGAAATAACCTTCATAGAATCAAGGAGGTACTTTAAGCTGGTCGCTGTAGATGACAAGACAGGCGCAATACGTGCTCTGGAGAACAACGTAGGGGACCTGAATTTGATAACAGCCTCTTCTTTCACTTTCTCTGCCTTTTGTCTCCTTCTCAGGACAGTGACAGGGCCAAAGGAGGCACAGTGGAAGATGGCTCAGGCAGTGCCCCCATCATCCTTTAATACAGCCGTCTTCAATCTGGGTCTCGCCAGATGTGTTGAGCTGCCACAAGCCAGGACACACAAACTGGACTAGAGACGTCACTTGAAATGTCAGATAGTTTCTCCTGTTTTTTTTTTCCTCACTTGCTCCTTCTCTACACTCCACTCAACCAAAAGGGTTCTTCTACCGACTGCTGGAGAAGCCAGAGGAGGAAGAGGAGAAGAACACCAAATAAGGGAAAGGTGGCTGCATCCGTTCTGGCCACTTTGCTACGTTTCTGGACCCAAAACGGCACACGGCGTAGTGCTGGGGTCACCGCCTTGGGCTGTGCCTGGCGTATCCTTTTCCTCCGTCTCGTGCAGGTTTGAATCCAGCCCTCCCCGACATCGCTTGTGGGAACCCTGTAGACCTGTCGTTCCCACCTTCGGGTAGCCCGGGTCTTCTTGGGACTGCAGCCTCCAGAAACCCCAGGCAGCACAGCTGGTGGTGAAGGCTTCTGGGACTTGTAGTCCAAGAACACCTGGAACGCC